CTGTGTTGGACCTTTTCCCACCGTAGAAAGGTCTGTTGGACAGCGCCGTCCCCGCACTCCGCTGTCTTGCTATAAGACGGCTTCCTAAGGTCGTTCATGGAACCTGAGTTCTCTCTTTTTTTTTCTGATTTTCCTTCTGTAAATTTAAAATAAAACTTTGATCCATCCTCATAACTTGAGAAATGTATTTTTGGTTTAACAATTGCCTGCCAGGGAGTAACATTTGAATGAAGGAGTGAATCCCAGGCCTGGTGTGGGGCAGTCTGACCCAGGAAGGGTAGGCATAAGCCAGAGGGAGTGGGGCGGACAGAACCCGGGGGCTCCCCTGTCAGGCTTAACCAATGGCAGTGGCAGCGGAAGTGGGAGCCCGCAGAGACTCACAGGGAAGTTCAGAGAAAGCCTGGAGCAGTGGCCAGGGCGGAGAATTCTAGATTTCTAAGCTGTTTGTACCTTTAATTCTTGTCACCTGTGCCCCAGCCAGGCTGGAGTCAATCCGAGACACGGTGAAGACCATGGTATGGAGACTGTCTTCGGGAAAACTCCCCGATACAGGTCTTATTATCCTTTCTGTTTACAAATGAGAAAACGAAGGCACGGGCAGGATAAAGGGGACATAGAAAGCAGAGAAGGGGTCTAGGGCTTTACGCCCCAAAGAGCCTCGGGGTGTCCTGGCTAATTTGGAGACCAGGGCTTGGGAGGCCAAGGACCAGATTTCAAAGGGGTTTTTAAAAGGCTTTTGTCAAAGAAACTCCAAGAGCTATTCCTCTGTGCAAATAACTCATTCCTGGTGGGACTGCCTTTATTCCTGGGCAAGAATACGAGAGAAGAGGGTTAACCAGCGCTGCTGTCTGGGGGAACCTCAGTCCTCCACTTCCCAAGGTGAGAGGGAGCCCTATTGGAGGACTTCCAGGGGCTCCCGCCCTCTCATTGGCTCCTGCTTGTGGGCGGGTTACATTTTGGGATTGGGGAGATTAAAGAGAGACGGGTGTCTATGGGGCCATGTTTCTCTGGGGGTGGGGCTAATGTTCGTTTAAGCCAAACATAAATTCCTCACTCCAGCCCCCATTGTGCCCGGCCGTCCTCCCACCACTGTCCCTGGTGCACTGCAGTGGCTGGTCTTTCTGTGAACACGCCAAACTCCGGTGCCTCAGGGCCTTTGTGCCTGCTCTACGCTCTGCTCAGGTTGCTCTTCACCTAGTCCAGTGGTCGGCAAACTGCGGCTTGCGAGCCACATGCGGCTCTTTGGCCCCTTGAGTGTGGCCACGAAGTTTCAATCGCACTGTACGTGCGTGCCCGCACGTGGTATTTTGTGGGAGAGCCACACTCAAGGGGCCGCAGTTTGCCGACCACTGACCTAGTCCATCCTGACTTCTAGTCACCGAGGGCTCAACTCAGGTCAGCTCCTTAAAGGCCTCCCTTTAGCCCCCCCGTGTCTCAGACCCTGTTTTCTGCAGAGCACCGTCAACTGTCAACTGGTGGTTGTTGGCCCCATTTCAACAGCAACAGGAACCCCCAGTGTCGGGTGTGGTGAAGGAGACTTTATTCAGTGCACACAGCTCAGTTATGATACAGCACGGCTGTGGGCTGTGGAAACAGCATAACTGTGAGGCAGCCCGGGAGCCAGGCCCCTCCCGGCTGGACAGCTCTGCTCTGCTCCTTGATGCTCTGCTCCCTGGGGTGCTGGCCGGCTCCACTTTGCTCCAGTCTGCTCTGGCCTGTGCTTGTCTGCTCCTCTCCACTCGAGCCAGGCATCGTCAGCGTCTCAGCTCAGCCAGGGAGATTCAGTCCTCAGTGGAAAGGCCGAGTGCCCTCTCAGAGCTGGCTTATATGGACGGAAATTTCTGCCCTTAGTCCCTGATTGGTCTGTCCTCATGCAAATGAGGACTCAAAGTCTGACTGGCCCCAAAAGGCACTGTCCTGATTGGTCAGGATAGAGCTGTGTGGAGCTGCCCAGCTCCAATTGGGTGGGGAAAACCTCAGTCCTATTGGTTGAAATGGGATTCCAGGGCTCACAGGGCAGCAGCACGGTGCAGGCAGGCAGGCAGGCAGTCCAATGCAGGCTTCTCCTTGAAGTTGACATGAGAGATCCCTGTGTAGAAACTGCTGCTAGGTTCTGTTATTTTTTTAAAATTTGAGTCCAGTTAGCCACTAGGAGCCCTTCTTAGTAGGTGTCTTTCTCAGGCGCACAGCACCCATCAGTGTTGGCAATTTTTCCTTTTGTTTCATGTCTGTCTTTCCCCCACTAACTGTAAGATCCAGGAGGTAAACAACCTCATCTCACTGTTTCCTCAGCACCCGGCACAGTACCTGGCATAGTAGGTGCTCAGTTAATATGGGTGGGGTGTGGGCTTTCCTGCTACCTGCTTTTCTGCTCTGCTTCCTCCGTCCCTGGGTTAAGCTGGAGAAGGGGGTTGGGGGAGCAAGGACAGTGGCCTTTCTCCAGCTTCCCTGAGCCTGGGAGGGTGGGGTTAAATGCAGGGAAGAGACAGGAGGCATCTCGATATCTAATTCTCCATCCCACCCTCCCCAAGCCCAGCCATTTCTGTCACATCAGCCTCAGCTGACAACCTGGGTTTCTTTCTTGTAAGATCCCGAGGAGAGAACAGTGACTCCTGCCTCCATTCTGTTGCACTCCAACCCAACTGCCACTCCACCACTCACACAAATGTATTTCCTCGGTTTGCTGCTTAATTTTTAAATTGGGTTTTCTGAGACGATGCTCAAAGTGGATTAGAGCTGACATTTGAATAGGTGCCATGCTGTACATGAGATGGCATCCCCTGGGGCTGGAGCTCTGCAGCCAGACCTGGCTCCAGGACTTCCTCGCTGTGGGCCTGCTTCCCAACTGTAACACGGGGATGACTGGACCTGCCTACTAGAGCTGACACAGTGGATATACAGCACTTGGCATGTTGCCTGGCACTAAATAGCTATTTTTAATTCTTATATTTTGTTATGAAGGCTCCTGAAGGCAAAGTCCAGAGGGCTAGTTCAGGCTCTGCCATTCACTGCTGACCTTAGCAAGTCCCTTTTCCTCCCTGAAGCTGTGTCCCCACTTGTAAACTGGGTGTCTGGGGGTGGGGGTGGGGTGACTCTGGCAGCTAAAGCGATAGTGTTGGGCTCAGTACAAAGGAGATACTTTAAAAAAACAACAAACAAAAAAACAAAGGAGACACTTTGATGAACATCAGGCTGCATGTAAGGTAGTGAGCTCCCCGTCACCTCTAGTGCACTGTGTAGAAAGCCAGAGCGGGAAGGAACCTCCAACAGCCAAGCCTCTCATTTTGAAAAAGACACAGAATAACACAGACCTAGGAGCTTACGATCCCCTGCCTGCCCGTCTGAGGCCCCCTCCATCACACCGCCTACTGGATGTCCAGAACAATCACCTAGAGAGCCTGGGTGAGACATGCCTGGGGTCAGCTATGGGCCCGCTACCAACTCGCTGTGTACCTTGGCAAAGCGTGCCAGCTGCTGCCAGTGCCCCTGCCAGTGGCAGAGGGGAGTGGGTGGACGAACACCACAGCCCCCCACCCCCACTTTGCAGGGACTCCTCTAGGCATACACGGTGCATGGCTTCCCAAAGCTGCTGGCAGGATCAGGCAGCAGTTGCCGGCGCTGGCGCTGTTTGATAACATTCTCTGCTGCCTCCTGCCCTCCCTGCCTCCCTGCCCGCTCCCCAAGCAGGGCTTCCTGGGATCCCCTCCTAAATCAACTCATTGCACTGAGTCCCTGTGTGGAGTCAATGAGTTAATAAAGATAAAGTACTCACAATGGCAGTAGGCTTGTTTCATAAGTAAAAAAAAGAGATAAAGAACCTTTACTTATATAAAACTCCACCCCCTTCCGTTCCAGCCTCCTCAGCAAATACAAATGTTAGGTTTAAACAATCTTTGGGACGCACACACACACACATTACTCAGCGTGTGGTCCGGGCCAGCGTGCAGGCGAAAGGTGGCTGGTGTCGGCGTCTGGAACGCCCCGCTCAGCCGGATCTCAGGGCGAAGCTCTCCCTCTGGTCTCTGTGGCTGCCAGCCACGGTGTCTGCGAGGCACAGACCGGCCCAAGGTAGCTGGGTGTGTTTATTCTGGGGACCCCACGCCTACCAGGGCCCCCAGCAAACTGTCACTGCGTGGTAATCACCGTTTTTCGTGTGCTTCTGGTACCCCCACTTGACTAAGCGCCCTCCACAGCCCAGATCCTGCTCCTGTCCACCTAATGG